GCTTATGATCATTTGACGCTCGCAAGTTATGATTGTGACGTTTGACCCTCGCAAGTTATGATTGTCACGTTTGACCCTTGCGAGGTATGACCTTTGCGACGATTGACCCTCGCGAGGCATAACCTCAATGGGTATGATTTTTTTCGAATTTTGACCCTTGTAACTCTGACAGGCGGTATTCTCGGTAAAAATCTCCCGATTCTCCAAGGTGCGAATAGATGGCGCCACATAGATTTTTGACAGGTCAAAAAGCCGACATCTCGCCCGGGTAATTTACCTACTTTATGACCGGTCAAAAACCATGTAATTTACCTAAGGTAATTTACTTGCCCAACCCTGGAGGCAACTGCGGGTAGGGAATTAGGCTGGGGTACCGCGTAGGTACTGGGACGGGTAGGTAAAAGACCACAACGGTCATACCATCTGGCACCACCCAATTAGAAGAGCCAGCGGTGATAATAGTCAAATGAGGGAATGGAGACGAACGATTTCACGATCAAATCATCATGCGGGTGGGATATCCGGATATTCTATATAGGAGACAAAATAATTGTCACGGTCAAAAGAAAAAGTGCAAAAAGATGGTCATAAGAGTTTTATCCATACGTTCGCCCGTCTTCATTCATTTTATTCGACCTTTATGACCACTTCGATTTTTCTTTGCATTAAACTCTCATAATCGTTTTGTTCCCCCTTCTATTTCTCTTGTTTGTGAATCAACGAATAAAAACGTTTTTCATTTTTACCTTTAAAATCCTGCCTAAGTTTTGATCCGATTGACAATTTTTTTTTCAAAATGTTACCTTTATTCTGTGGAGCCTAACGAATATTTTGAAAAAAATTGTCAATCGGATGAAAACTTAGGTACTTGGACGATTTTAAAGGTAAAATGAAAAACGGTGTTTTTCTTTCATTCGCCGGGTAAATCGATTCATTTTTCCCACCTATTCCTATCGTCTATTAAAAGTCACTAGGTACGTCCTCTGCTCCAACGAAGATTTTGAGATTTCACCGCGATCTTCCGTTAATAATCGTTTCTTCACTCTTCCGTTTGACGCTTACGACCGTGTCGGTCTTCCGTTCATTTCCTACGATCGTTTCATTTCTGTAATAAGGTGATTACTAAATTGATAATCAAGTAATTACTGAATTTATAATGAGGTGATTACCAAATTGGTAATCTCTTTTTTTCGTCATACTGCCAAGCATTATCGACGATACTTATTCCACATGAATCTAAACTGATGAATTTCTCCGCTTGTTTTGTGTTCTACTATTATCCCTTTTTTTGTTACTTCTATTTTTTAAACTCATTTTTCAATTGATAAGTGCTAACCCTTAGTTATTTCCAGTTATTTTGAATTATTATTATATAATGTGGTGAGTTGGAATAGTTTTTTACTATATTTATTTCCGTACTGGCTTTCACTTTTCCTCGTCCGGGGATTGGTATTGGCTCTTCCCCAAACTCGTAAAACTGAAAATCACTACGGAAAAATAGGTATCGTTCACGACTAGTGCCATCCCTAATGGATCACTCGATATGAGGGTCGAGCTGAGCACTCAGTCGAGTGCTAGTCGATGGCGGTTCGATTGGTTGATTATCGATCAAATAACGATCGACCAATGATCGACTAACAATCGACCAACAATTGACCATCGACCGTTAATCGACTAATCATTGACTAAAAATCGACCAGCAATATTATTATAATAATATTATTATATATATATAATAATACTATCCATATATTTTAATATATGGGCCAATAGTAAGTTTTGAGCGTAGAATTTTTGACTAATATGACTTCTGTTCATGTTGCTGACATCAAATCGTCACAATTACCACATTGTAGTTAACAAATACGACTTAGATTGTATATAAATAAGTACAGATCGTAAGCTTGCTTCTAATCTCCCACCATCAGCTTCTGATTTCTCATATATTTTGTCCTGAATTCGTCTACTAATCGCAAACTTTTTCGACGCCTATTGCAGATGAGAGATACAGGATATTGGCATCGATTCCAGCCAGTTGGTTCGTAATGTCGAGTTTCATTCTTCTACGATTAAGTTACTACTTCGAAAATCGATGACAATGTTCACTGGAATTGACCCGCATCTAAATTGCTGAGCAGAATCTTAGTGAATTCAACGAAAATTGAATATGTTCAATAGGTAGACTACAATGAAAAAGAAAAATTGTTCAAGTGAATATTTAAACAGGCAACAATTCTGCGTTTCTAGTGACTGCTTGCAGGTAGATCCAGACTCACCAACCATGCCAACTGTGTTTTTGCGCTCCAATGATCTTTTTCATCTATTTTGGTCTCTTAAAAAATCTTGAAAAACTCGAATTTATCAATTTTTGTACAGAGACAAAATGTGATTCTTTTTCGTGTCATTTTGGTACTTAAATATTTATTCAACTGGTGGACATTTTTTAAACGTTTTTCTCATATTTTTATCATTGTTATATTTTCATCCAATGCATTAACTTGCCCTGCGCTCAATTCTAAAATTAACGTATTTTTAGTTGAATATTTGTTTGAGATGATTATAGTATTCAAGTACAAAAAAACCATGAATTTTCAAGTTGATTTTAAACACCCATGCTCTTTACGATTGTATTTTTGAATTATCTTTTTGCCTGTTAATTTGTACAAAAGAGTGGGAATGTGGTACAATTACTGAAGTATTTATTACAGTGAATTCAAGGACAGATTCGCAACGAAACTTTCATTGAATCTGTGCATTCTTCTCACTTCGCAAATTGTGCTGTTAAAGTCTCGCTAAGTTTTTCGAAATTAAATAGATCACTATACAAAATGTATTTTCAAGATGAATAATTAATAAAAATGACAAGTTGATAAAAGGAAGAATGTAATAATTATTTATTGGTACTGTGAAGTCATTTCGCTTTACAGAGAGTAGTGATATGGAAAATCAAGCAATTGAGATCCTCATTTAATAACTCGTGATATTCGAAACTCACTAGGAAGTTTCTCCCTAAGAAATTTTCAATGATTCATTCATTCATTTTACCGCAAGTATCCATTGATTTTCGATGTGGCAACTGGCCATAATTTTTACTATAGTGAAGAGTGGACATAACTATTAAACCACAGACCACCTCGATCTGACGATAGTATTCCTCCTTCCTGAATATTCTCACATACATATTTTGGGCCCATTCATACTGCATTGAATACCGAATAATGTATGTTATTGAAATAGAAAAAATAAACCGATGCTTCCACGTTCGGTTTCTCAAGGAAAATGCTTAGTCTTTCAAAGTACATCAATCCACTGTAGTTGACTAAAAATTCGTGTAACTACAGCGACGAATCAATCCCAAGACTTCCAACATTTTTCCTTTAAATGAGAAAACTTTTCTAAAGAAACTTCATTACTTTCAACAATTGAAGCGTGCCGCCAATAACGTCATCACTCTCGCCTCAAACCGCATACTATGTTTGTACAGTGGTCAAAAAAAGTTCTGCCAGTCCATGACCGTCCAACACCGGTGACGGCGACTCAAACCTCAACAATAACAAACAAAGTAAATATCTGGAGCACAGTGGGTTTAGGGAAAAAAAGGAATAATTTAGAAAAATATATGGAATAGAATAGAATGTTATTTCATTGGTGCTACAATTACTGTTTTACACATGCCTCTCCTTCTCAACACAATAATAACATGAATAGATGAATACAAAATACAAAAATTGCTTTGGGTATTAACCTAAATGCAGCCAACATACAGAATACCTAATATATAAGACAGACATTGCCAGAAAACAGTGAGAACCTATGCCATCGCCACTCCTCTCCCCGCGATTCGCGAGTAATAAAGCACTTAATAAATGAATAATATATATTAAGAAACAGTTTTAAGACATCGCGACGAAATTTAAGAAAATTTTCGCGAATTGGCAACAATGACAAATGCTACAGACGTGTCCGTTTCCGATGTCCCATCCTGCCACTGATTCGGCTCCCTCTGCATTGCCCATGTCTTCCGACGTCACTCTCGTACCTTTGCTTCTCTTTAGCCCCTTCCACGCTACTCCGCTCACTGTTTCCAAGCCTCAGTGACCAAAAGTTGTCGCCAGTAATGCTTTTCCAACTACCAAATTCTTCAAAAAAGAAATTATGGTAAAATTAGGGATACCATAGGCCTCTCTATGATATATAGTATCGGATGTGAAATTATGGTAGCGGTACCATAATTATGATATGGTTGGCAACGCTGCTCTTCCCGTTGGGCTCATGCACTGAAATGTAGTATATACTGGAAAGGGCACTGCCGTGCTAGGCCCGTAAGCGGAAAACGAGCCAGAGAGAGGTAGATTTTCAAGGATACCTGTCTCACTCTAGCAGGCGTTGCGCATGCGTAGAACGAGCATGTACATGCGAGTTAAAAAGCTTATGTACTCTGAGTGGTGCACACTCAATTGTTGCTATTTACGTCTTGGCGATAATTGTCCCATTGTGAGAATAAAAAAATATCCTCTAATCCACGAACAGCTATTTCGTAGAAAATTAGAGGAAAAATCGTGTATTTTGATATTGTCTTCATTGGATTTCTCTTGTATTCTTCATGCATTAAAAAAATTCACAATTACAATGTTCTTATTTTTTATTGCAGTATTGGGACAACTAGATATAAACAGATTCCAATTCAACTCCTCGACACACGAGGCATTTTCCTGAACTTGAGAGTCCCTGGAATTCCCTCAAAATAAAACCTATATCATTCAATTTATACTTTCTGTTTCAGGAATTATATTGGACATACCTAAATTTCAAAATCCGAATACTGATGACGATATCGACTCAGAGGATTTCGATACACCTTCAGATTGATTGAACAAATAATCTCTTGAATTGTATATTTTTTTGTATTTTTCCCATGTGGAATTATTTTAATTAAATTGTAAATGGCCCGAGTATTATTACATTGGAAAAAAATCATCAATTCTATGTTATAATGATGCAACAACAAAAATTGAACGCCAATACTGAATTCTATACGTTCTAGAAGGTTTGAAAACTTTTTGAGCGGACGGTACGAGAGAGATAGGTATCCTTGAAAATCGCCCCTCTCTGTCGGCTCGTGTCAGGCGGATCAGTGCCCTTTCCAGTATATACTACATTTCAGTGGGCTCATGCCCACCTCACGCCGCCATCTTCAAACAGCGAGTCAAAAATATGTGGATTTAATTGTCACTGACAGTGCTGATGAGTTGGCGAGGCTACGAGTATTTTATATTTTCTTCTTCTCGGTAAATATTTAATCATTTTGGGAATGAGTTATTCTAGAGGGAAATTGTGAAAAGACAGATTGCCATAGATTTTTTCAACTACACAGAAGTCTCTTGACATAAACTCCGAAAATGACGCATTCCATAATCTATTGACAATATCATTGTTGAATGAAAACTTTTCATAATTTTGTTATTGATGCAATAGGAAAATAAAACGATAATAATATTTGAAACTTTTCATTCAGACAGACTCTATCAGAAACAATTTCTGTTTACTATTCATGAATTGTTCTGAACGAATTTTTTGTTGAAGGGTTTGTTTATTTCATTCGAATCTAAAGCAACTGATAAAGGTTTTTTTTAGCAGAATTCTTAAAATATTAATTCTTATAAATTTCTATTGCAGGTATGGGGGCGAAACATCGAGAAGAAACTGACAATTTCTATAAGATGCACTAGTGAATTGAATCAACAAACAAAATAAATAATCTGAAGCCATTGGATCCGAGAAAGAATTGAATAATTCACCTGAATATATTTATGACATCCACATTCATGGAGCTTATAGCTAAGAGAAAAACACAGTATTCATCTTAACAAGTCTTTAATTATTTTGGTAACGAATGATTTTAAAGGGGAAAGTGACAAAAGAAAGATTTCTTATGAATATTTTTTTTAACTACATAAGAGGTCTTTTGACATGAATTCCTAAAATCATTTCAGTAGAAACAAAATCTGCTGACAAAATTTGTTGTTGAAAACGTTCCTCAATTTTGTTATTGATTGAATATGAGAATAAAAGAATAATAATATTTGAAACTTTTAATTCAGACAGATTCTATCAGAAACACTTTCTATTTTCTTTTTATAGCATTTCTCAAACCACTTTGACTATCCAACAGTTTGTTTATTTTTATTAGAGTGTAAAGTCACTGACAAAGGCTTTTATCTGTAATTCAGTGAATTCGGCAAGTTTCTTCCATTTTTAGACACACTAAACATTTTCACGAAATTCAACGGTGAATTAAATGAATTTGAAATGAAAATTGGTGGGTCAGAAAAAAATTGAATAAAATTTTCTGGAAATTTCAAGTGTTTAATTCAATTTCCCAAAATGGCCGTAGAATTTTGATCATCTCGAGAACTACAATATTCAGAACCTCAAATCAAAATTCATAATGAAGCCAGGAAAATTTCCAATCCCACCGACCCTTTATGAACCCGTTTTGCTCCACGATTCCCCCAAAAACTCAACGAAATCACATTTCTGTCCAAGATTCGTTTTTACTCATTATCTCGAGGACGAATGCTTCAAGAGACATCCCCAGCTTCTGTTTGGATCAGGAACTCCTCTATGGACTCCCTGACATGATAAACCCCCACCCTTTGCCCCAAGAACTCCAAAAAAAATGTTAAGAAGTTTAATTCAATTCTCCAAAACGTCGATAGAATTTCGATTATCTCGAGAACTATAATAGTTACAATCCCAAATCAAAATTCATAATAAAGCCATGAAAATATTCAATCCTATGAACCCATTTTGCCCCACGATTCCCCCAAAAACTCCGCGACATCACATTTCTGTTCAAGAATCGTTTTCACTGATTATCTCGAGAACAAATGCTTCAAGTGACATCACTAGCTTCTTTTTGGATCAGGAACTCCCCTATGGACTGCCTGACTTGACCCACCCCTACTCAATTGGCAACAGCACATACAGTTTCAAAAAATGTCATGACATTATAGTCAATCGTTTTTATTCCTGCATTATTTCTAACTGCTATGTTTTTTCCGCATCATGTGTTATTTTATTGAGACTGGACGTTGGCGAGTATCCATCTCAGTCACAATTTTCGCAACTCCCTTCGTCAGGACATTCGTGATAGCCACGTTGTAACGTTTGTACATGAGCTCGCACATATCGTACAGATTGTAGATTCTGAACCTTGCCCTTGGAGATGCCCACGTCTCACTGCAGCTCTTGACACAGTTTTTTCTGATCATCTAGGGCAGCTTCATTGCACGAAACATTCCAGTCCTGAGACGTTCGTATTCTGATTTTAAAGCCCCAAAATCAAAGATCTCCTTGAAGAGGGTTGTCCGTTCCTTCGGGTTCTTCATGGCGATACACTCCATAGCCCCTGGAACACCAGGAAGTTGTTGGCTTTGAGGTTGATCCCCAGGTGCTCCAGCTCCGTTAGGTAAGCCTAAGAGGTCACCATCGAACCGTTTATCCGGTGCTGTGAGGACGATCCCTGGACGGATCTCATGAAGGACTTCTCGGTGTCGTCCTCGACCTCGAAGACAGCTGTGACCAAGCCAAATTAATGGAATATTTACAGAAAAAAGAACCTTTTTCAGCTACTTCAACACGGAATCAAGAGAGCAAACTCTTCAGCAGAAAGAAAAAGAAGAGTTTTGAAAATGTTATGAATAAAAACTAGAAATTATTTTTAATAGACTCTGATTCAAAAATTGAAAATATTTTTCTCCTCAATTTTTTACATTTGATCAATAATAAAATAAACAGGAGTTTCCAAAAATGAATTTTATCAGCAGATATTGTTTCTGCAGATTATGAGTTATTTTATTAATGAGTTACTTTAGAAGTTTATGTCAAGAGACTTCTGTGTAGTTGAGAAAATCTATGGCAATCTGTCTTTTAACAATTTCCCTCTAGAATAACTCAGTCCCAAAATGATTAAATATTTACCGAGAAGAAGAAAATATAAAATACTCCTATCCTCGCCAACTCATCAGCACTGTCAGTGACAATTAAATCCATATATTTTTCTAAATTATTCTTCTTTTTTCCTAAACCCACCAGAGATTATAAGGGAGATTGCCAGCGTCTATGGAAACGCTTCAACCGCAAAATTAAGTAGCGGTGGCGCCGACCTAATTTTGAGTATGTACCTGTAAGTAAAACAGGGAGCGTGTGAGAGCGTCGATAACGGCGCAGAGTGGGGGGGAACGCGTATGAGGGAATCGGAGGGCGGAGCGAGCGGTGATGTGAGGGAAACCTACCGCAGTTCGAAACGCCGACGGGCGGCGGAATCCTGCCCTTAATATAACAATCAATTTCTCCTTCCCTAATGAGGACGAAGGGATGAAACGGTTGCCAATCGATTGAAAATTGAATCCTCAACTGATTGCGATCTGTTTTATCCCTTCATCTCAATTAGAGGGGGAGAAACGAATATTTATGGATCGAGTGAGTCCCCAAACGGCTCTCGCCATTGAAAAATCCATTTCTCCTCCCCCAGCAGAGATTAAGGGATGAAACTGGTGACAATCGATTAAGAATTGAATCCTCAATCGATTGCGGTCGTTTCATCCCTTAATCTGCGCTGGGGGTGGAGAAATGGATTTTTTAATCAAACCCGCCGGAAAATCGGTCGGGATCCTCTGGCGCTTGAAAAATTAATCACTCCTCCCCTAATTGAGATGAAGAGATGAAACGACTGCAATCAGTTGAGAATCCAATTCTCAATCGATTGTTACCAGTTTCATCCTTTAATCTCTGCTGGAGGAGGAGAAATGGATTTTTCAATGGGGAGAGCCGTTTGGGGACTCACTCCATGCTTCAAATATTCATCTCTCCTCCCCTAATTGAGATGAAGGGATGAAACGACCGCAATCGGTTGAGGATCCAATTCTCAATCGATTGTCACCAGTTTCATCCCTTAATCTCTGCTGGGGGAGGAGAAATGGATTTTTCAATGGGGAGAGCCGTTTGGGGACTCATTCCATGCTTCAAATATTCGTCTCTCCCCCTCTAATTGAGATAAAGGAATGAAACGACCGCAATCGGTTGAGGATCCAATTCTCAATCGATTGTCACCAGTTTCATCCCTTAATCTCTGCTGGGGGAGGAGAAA